CTAATTTTGTATGTTTAGTAGAGATGGGGTTTCTCCATGTTGGCCAGGCTGGTCTTGAACTCCTGCCCTCAGGTGATCCGCCTGCCTTGGCCTCCCACAGTGCTGGGATGACAGACATGAGCCACCCTGCCAGTTCAGCGCCTTTAACTCAAGTGCTTGCTGAATGCAGCGGGATGTTTGCTGCCAATCAGAGGGATACTTAGGCTTTTGAGGTTTGTCCTTCAATTACTGAAGGAAGAAAGGAATTCAAAATGAGGAGCCAGCATCCTTTTGTAAACTCCTTGAATGATTAACTGTATTTTGCCTGAAGATAGTGCAGCTGGGCTTCAGCTCTCCTATTTGCCTGTCCTTAGAAACTCACACCCCTGCCCCTTTCTGCCTGCCTGCCCGCCTGCCTTCTAGTGTGGAAAATTTGAAGCAGGCAGGAAAGTATATCCAATATGCAAGGATGAAGTAGCTGAAGGAAACTTGGTAAGGAGAAGTGAGGGTGGGAGATAGCGCAGCTGGGTGGGACAAGGACAGAGCCCTTGCACGCTATTCTGTGGTCGTGCCTAGCCATGGGAGAGGCCCCTCCTGGCTCTCAGCTTCTCAGCAGCCAGGGAAAAGAGGGGAACCCAATCTGTAATGGAAGGCACAGGGCTCATGGGACATATGATTAAGGCCAGTGGGTTTTCCTAGAGGCCCAGCTGTTTCTGACGCTGAGAGCTGAGAGAAATTTCTGTAGACCTCGCTGAGAATACCTTCCTCACCCATCCCCATGTGGATAATGACATGCGTTTCCTCCTGCCGTGTCTTCCAATGGCCCAAGGTACAAGTTCAGAGGGGAGACAGTCCTCCGGGTGAATATGGAAAGAACGCCGAGCAGACAGGGAGCATTCCCCTGGTACTTTCGGATCATTTAGAAGACTTAGAGGTGTGAACGGATATCCTTCCAAATAACAATAGCACAGAATTTTGAGATGAGGCAGCAGGTGTGCCCATGGTGCTGTGTTGGGCATTGGGTGTCACAGTTAGAAGCAGACTCGTTCCTTTGACCATTGTGTCAGGGAAGGATAAGCTCACCAAGTCTAGGGTAACAGTCAAGGAACCTGGTCTGGGGCTCCTCTGCTGCACTGTGGTGGGCCAAGGGAGAGTTCTGACACTCCAGGCTTCCTTGGAACACTGGGATTGCCTGACATATGGGCTATGAGGAGACCAAGCAGAGAGCGAGGCTGTGGGAATCTTAGCCTGGAAAAGCTTTAAAGGAGTTTCTGCAGTGGGCTTTAAAAAGCAAATGAGGCCTGGCGTGGTGGCTCATGCCTGTAATCCAAGCACTTTGGAGACCAAGGCGGGCGGATCACCTGAGGTCAGGAGTTCAAGACCAGACTGACCAACATGTTGAAACCCCATCTTAAAATAAATAAATAAATAAATAATAAAAAGCAAATGAAAAACAATAGCAAAAGAACAAAAAGACGAAACCAGACGAAACCAGAAACCTCAGCAAAATTACCCTTAGAATGTCTGATTTCAAGCACTGGCCCATCCTTGCTCTTCCTCAGTCCTCATTTAATCTTACTGGATATAGGCCAGGGTCTGTCTCTCCAGACGTCATCAGCCAGTGTTGCCAGTAACTAGAGAGCAGGAGCTGGGGTCAGTCGAGGCTTATTCTAAGATGAGATGATCAAAATATCAAGAATGCTTTTAAGTTATGATTCTTAATATGATGGTAACTAGGTATGCAGTGTGTCTGAAAGAGTCACCAGGCCATGAGACCCATCTGAAGGAAGCCGGGGATCAGAATATAACACTCTTTACGTGATTTCAAGCTGCCACCCTGTCTGCCAGGGACTCATTCCCACCAGTCCTCACCTTTTGGTGACATGTTACCTGAGTGTTGTTAACCGGGGGCTCCCCTGAGTTCAGCGTTCCCATAGCTGCAGCTGTAGTTGATGGTCCCTAGACTCTGACAGGAGCCAGGCACTCTCAGGTTGGTCATGAGAGATTTCTTCACAAGGTGATAGAGGACAACAGTGATTATTCATGATGCTGATCCTGGGACAGGATGTTGGCTTGAAAACTAGACTTAAAATTTGTCAAGAAGACAGGTGCTCAGTTACCTCATAGTATCCGTGTGGCGAGGGGTGTCGGGGTTGCCTCTTGAGAAACGGATGTGATAGCAGTTTCCTCGGTTGGCCATGTCCACGGAGGTTTAAGAAAGCAAACAAGCTTGTAGCAGTGAAACCCCCAGATGAGGACAGACTGCACAATTCTGGTGGCAGAGAACCGTTGCCAGGAATTTTATCCAGTGTGTTCATTATCAGATAGTCTCTGTAAGGCAGGGGTTCCCATTATCAGATAGTCTCTGTAAGGCAGGGGTTCCCCCCTCAGAGGGTCTGCTGTGTTCAGGGCTGTTCCCTGTGAGAAATGGGGGGCAGGCACCAGGAGTGGGGGGGGTGGTAGCTCCCAGGAGATCTGTCACTGCTGCAGAGAGCCATGGAAAGGTGGCCTCAGAACCACCTTGGTTCCTGTCCCTGAAGGCCAAGTGCAGATCTTCCCATAAACATACTACACTTGGCTGGGTGCGGTGGCTCATGCCTGTAATCCTAGCACTTTGGGAGGCTGAAGCGGATGAATCATGAGGTTAGGAGGAGTTCGAGACCAGCCTGGCTAACATGGTGAAACCCCTTCTCTACTAAAAGTACAAAAAATTAGCTGGGCGTAGTGGCGGGCGCCTGTGATGCCAGCCACTTGGGAGGCTGAGGCAGGAGAATCGCTTAGACTTGGGAGGCAGAGGTTGTAGTGAGGCGAGATCACGCCACTACACTCCAGCCTGGGCGACAGAGTGAGACTCTGTCTTGAAATACATACATATATATAAGACTTAAGATTCTCGAAGCTGATAAAAAAATATTGTGGTACAGTTTTGTGAGACCACAGGTAGCCACTTGTTGATGGTTTCCCATGGCTCTGTCCCTGGCCAAACCACTGTAGAAGCTTTAGCTCAGGGATGTCCAACCTTTTAGCTTTCCTGGGCCACATTAGAAGAAGAGTTGTCTTGGGCTGCGCATAAAATACACTAACGCTATTGATAGCTGGCAAGCTAATAAAAAGGTCCTGTGCATAATTTTTTTGGTATTTACTACAGATAAACAAAATGTTGTTGGATTCCAAGGGTTGGACACAGCTTCTTTAGCCCCTCACGGCCTTTTCACCTTAGAAGCTGAGCAGCTACAGCATGTTAGATGATTTATGAAACATTTGCTGTTGGTAGGTAATCAGAGGTGAAATTTCTCTTTACAGACACTCAGAGTATAATTGGGACAGATCCCAGGTGGAAGGCCAGGTCCCTGGCAGCTTCCCTAGGTGGAAGGCCAAATCCCCGGTCACTTCCCCAGGTAGAAGGCCAGGTCCCCGGTGGCCTCCCCAGGTGGAAGGCCAGGTCCCCGGTGGCTTCCCATGGCTCCTGCCCCCTTTCATTCTTCCTGCTCTGACTTCAACTATCTAATCCTGAGTCTACGTGAGTGCTGTCACAGCAGTTCTAGGAGTTGGCATGAGAGAAAAATGATCCCTGTCCACTCCATCCTGGCTGTCTTTCCCCCGGACAGCTGTAAGCAGGAGTGGACTGCTTTCACACCATGTAACTTAGAACCTGGGTTGCTGGGGACAGAAAAGTGCATTTTTTTCTGGACTGATTCCTTGTGACTTCTGCTTACCTGTAAACTTGGTGAGGGACTCACTGTTCACGCACACAGCTGACCGGGAGGAGTGCCTGAAAACAGAGTTCTGCAGTTGGTCAGAAACTTGGGAAGAGCTAACATATTTAGAGGGTCTTAAAGCAAGTAGGGCTTTTTGACTCCTTGAAGGATTAATTTCCTTATGTAGTTTTCTCATTTGGTGTTTTCTCTAAGAAAGTTCAATCAGGAAATATATTATTCCCCCTTGTCAGTGGGGGATACGGTTCAAGACCCCCCAGTGGGTGCCTGAAACTGCAGCTGGTACCAAATCCTATATATACTGTGTTTTTCCTTATACATACATACCTATGATAATGTTTAATTTAGAAATTAGGCACAGTAAGAGACTTTTGAATAGCAATAACTAATAATAAAATAGAATAATTACTATAACAGTATACTATAGGAACAGTTATATAAATGTGATCTCTCTCTCTCTCCCTCTCTCTCTGTCTAAATATCTTACTGTACGTGTTCACCCTTCCTCGTCTTGTGAGGGTGTGAGATGATGCAGTGCCCGTGGTGAGAGGGTGAGAGGTGAGTGACGTAGGTTAGGCCACTGTAGCCTCTGACATGCATCAGAAGAGGACTGGCTGCTTGCGTGACCTGGGCCATCAAGCCGTGAGGATGTCAGTGGCTGCAGGTCAGGAGCTGATGGTGTGGATGACTGACAGGCGGGCAGCATGGACAATACTGGACAGAGGGCTCGTTGAGGTTCTGGGCAGGGGGAGCGGGGCAGGCAGGTGTTTCCCCTTCCTCAGCCCCACACCGAGCTTCTGTGTGGCCACTGAGCGAGTCCTGGCACTGGAGGGCAGTGCTGGCTGGGTGGCTCACCGGAGAACGTTTCTTCGGGTAACTTGGATGCTTTCTTTCCAAGATGGTCCTTGTAAGAGGCTTCAAGCATCCATTAGAAGACTTTCCCCTGGTGATGGTTAAGGCAAAGCAGCCGGAGAGCCAGTGGTCATGTGGCTCAAGTCAGCTGGACAGTTTCTGTTGTTACTTGTGGCTGCCTGGTCCTTGTGAGGGGTAGGCAGGGGGAGCATGAGGGAGCAGAATCGCCTTGTTTCCGCTTTGCTGTAATGGAGGAAAGGATTCAGGAGCCATCTGTGACACATTGTTGTCACCATAAGAAAAGAAATCTACATTTTTCCAATAGTATTAACTTTGCTTCTGTTCACGTCTCTCATAGGGCCGGTGTGTCATGCCCACAAGCGATTGGGCCTGTGGGGTTCTGTTGTGGGTGGGTGATTTTACCCAAGGCTCCCTCTACTTTGTGTCTTGTAGAATGTCGTTCTCTCAGGAGGCTCCACCATGTTCAGGGATTTCGGACGCCGACTGCAGAGAGATTTGAAGAGAGTAGTGGATGCCAGGCTGAGGCTCAGTGAGGAGCTCAGCGGCGGGAGGATCAAGGTATGAGCCAGGGGCCTCCACGCGGTGCTGGGGGAGGAGGGCGGTTTCTGCCCTGGGCCTGACTCAGGCCTTCCTGACACAGTTTGTCTGGGCCACGTGAAAGAAAAACAAATGTGTGTCGCTTTCTGAGCTGCACTGTGACATTACCATGGAGGTTTGCTGCTGGAGCTCCTTCCAGGCTCGTGGTTCAGACCTATGGTCCTGGTGACACAGCCATGGCAGCTTCACAGTCTCCCTGGTCATACCTGCCAGCAGTTGCCTTTTGTGTTGTACTCTTACGACATAGGGTGTAATGACCAGTGTCCCCAGGAGATAGTACTAATTTACGGTGAGGATCTTCTCATGTCCTCTGGAAATGTTCTCATTAAATGAAAATAACTAATGTTAGCAGGGAGTTACAAGGCATCTCTCCAAGATAGTAATTCTCAGGCAGCTGGTGATTATCTTGGGCTTCTAACCAAGATCAGGCTTGGATAGGGGAGCTGGGGGCCAGGAAGAGAGTGCACGAGTCCACTGCTGGGAAAGTACAGCTTCTTTTCGTGTTTTGGGGATGGTCAGTCTTATTTGGGATGAACCCTACAGTGCCAGAACATCTGAAATGTTTGGTCAAAAAAAAAGTCAGTGAGGTTAGTTGCTTGGATTTTGTACTTTTGTACTTTAATGCCCTCAGTGTTATGAGAGGGCGGTTCTGCTTGCCGGGCGTACCGTGTTCCTTTGAGCCTGGGGCTGGAATTGTGGTAGGTCTGGTGGGGGATTTGGCAGCACAGGCAGAGAGTCACTGAGTGCTTGGTGTGAGGTTGTACTTGTGCCACTGAGTGGGGGGTGACCCCAGGTGAAGCCATGGTCGGGTCAGCTGGAGGGTGACTGGATCACAGATGTGTCTGCACGTGTGCAGTAAGTGAGAGCTGCTTTCTCTTCCAGCCGAAGCCCGTGGAGGTGCAGGTGGTCACGCATCACATGCAGCGCTATGCCGTATGGTTCGGAGGCTCCATGCTGGCCTCGACTGTAAGTCCCTCTCTCAAGGGCTCCGTGTTTCCATTTCTGTGCTCACTGTTGAGTTTGGGCAAATATCATCTATGAAGGTGAAATAGTGTGTGCTCTAAACAGCCAATTCTGTAAATATAAACTATATATATATATATATATATAACTTATTTTCTTTCTTTTTGAGACAGAGTTTCACTCTGTCTCACTCTGTCGCCCAGGCTGGAGTGCAGTGGTGTGATCTTGCCTCACTGCAACCTCTGCCTCCTGAGTTTAAGCAATTCTCCTGCCTCAGCCTCCCAAGTAGCTAGGATTATAGGCATCCACCACCACATCTGGCTAATTTTTTTGTTGTATTTTTAGTAGAGGTGGAGTTTCATCATGTTGGCCAGGCTGGTCTCGTACTCCTGACCTCAGGTGATCCACCAGCACTCTTAAAGTGCTGGGATTACAGGCGTGAACCACTGTGCCTGGCCCTATATAAACTATATCTTAATAATCACACAACACATTTATCAAGTATCCTTGGTAATTAGGGATTACAGATAACATGCTAAGTGGAATCCAAACATAATCTAAAAAAAAATCCTGCATTAATCATTAATTCCAGTGACTTTTCCAAATAATTATTATTTTTCCCCCTCAAATTTGTGAATAGCTCACATGTTGTTAGTGGGGGAGCAGCATTTGGTTGGTCCTAAGAAGATAGAGGCTGACAAAACTTTTAAAAAGTAAAATAACCCCCCGTTTAGTAGTTTAGTCCATCAAAGAGGTAACTCTTACAGCAGTGGTCCCGTGAGGCAGGGTGGAGGCTGGGATGAGAAGAGTGTCTTGCCTGCATGGTAGCAGCTTTCCGACTCTCTTCTGAAGTGCGTTCTCTCCTTCTGCCTGTTGCCTCTGGTAGCCGGAGTTCTTTCAGGTCTGCCACACCAAGAAGGACTATGAAGAGTACGGGCCCAGCATCTGCCGCCACAACCCCGTCTTCGGAGTCATGTCCTAGTGTCTGCCTGAAAGCGTCGTCTGATGGTGTCACGTTGGGGAACAAGTGTCCTTCAGAACCCAGAGAAGGCCGCCGTTCTGTAAATAGTGACGTCGGTGTTGCTGCCGAGCAGCGTGCTTGCATTGCCGGTGCATGAGGCGCGGCGCGGGTCCTTCAGTCAAAGCCATTTATCCGTGTGCCGACGCTGTCTGCCAGCCTCCTCCCTCGCCCCGCCCTCCTCCTCCTCCTCCCCCTCCCCCTCCTCCCCCTCCTCTCCCTCCTCCCCCTCCTCCCCCTCCCTCTCCTCCCCCTCCTCCCCCTCCTCCCCCTCCTCCTCCTCCTCAGAGCTGCTAGCTGACAAATACAATTCTGAAGGAATCCAGATGTGACTTTGGAAATCGTCAGAGAAAACAATCTTAGAAAATGGCACAAAATCGTTGTGCACCAGGAGAATGTGGGGGCGCAAACCCTTTCCCTCCCAGCCTATTTTTGTAAATAAAATGTTTAAACTTGAAATACAAATCGATGTTTATATTTCCTATCATTTTGTATTTTATGGTATTTGGTACAACTGGCTGATACTAAGCACGAATAGATATTGATGTCATGGAGTGCTGTAATCCAAAGTTTTTAATTGTGAGGCATGTTCTGATATGTTTATAGGCAAACAAATAAAACAGCAAACTTTTTTGCCACATGTTTGCTAGAAAATGATTATACTTTATTGGAGTGACATGAAGTTTGAACACTAAACTGTATTGTATGAGAATTACTACAGATCATGTATCTTTTAGTTTTTTTGTTTGAACTTTCTGGAGCTGTTTTATAGAAGATGATGGTTTGTTGTTGGTGAGTGTTGGATGAGATACTCCCCTGCACCATTGTAATAAAAGCTGTTAGAATCTTTATAAATATCTTTCTGCTGCAGTGTGGTGGTCTTTTGGTTTTCTCCCTTGTCGCTGTGCTTCTCTTTTACATCATTGGAGGATTTGATTAACACCAAGTTTGTAGAAGGAAATTTTTTTTTTTTTTTGGTTGGGAGGGTGGATGGAGATTCACTCCTGTTGCCCAGGCTGGAGTGCAATGGCATGATCTTTGCTCACTGCAACCTCTGCCTCCTGGGTTCAAGTGATTCTCCTGCCTCAGCCTCCCGAGTAGCTGGGATTATGGGTGCCTGTCAGCTCGCCTAACTAATTTTGTATTATTAGTAGAGATGGGGTTTCTCCATGTTTGTCAGGCTGGTCTTGAACTCCCGACCTCAGGTGGTCTGCCCACCTCGGCCTCCCAAAGGGCTGGGATTACAGGTATGAGCCACCGCACCTGGCCAGGAAATTTCTTTTTCTGAATGATGTGGATGGCCTGCTCTGCAGTGGTGTGGGTCTGGATAACCCATCAGAGATGGTTTTTGTGTCTAGGGTATAGTGGGAAGGAGTGCCTAATGATTTCTGATGTTCTTTCCTAGAAATTCAGGATTCATGGCTGTAAGCTTTCAGTAACTACTCTGATGTTTGCCGAATGGATTTCTAGCTTGAAAGGTAATTTGCTCAATTAATAGATGATTAGATTTATTTCACTCTTCATATAATTCTTATAATTATGTTACTTGAAAAACTGTTACTTATGGTATTCTAAGTTGTGAAGTATGTTTTTTTGTTCTTTTTTTTTTTTCCTACTTTCACTCTCAAAGGCGGCGAATGAAGTATGTTTTGTTCTCAGAAAATTTGTCTCCATAAAGAAATGTAGCCAGGTGCAGTGGTGTGTGCCTGAAATCCCAGCTCCTCAGAAGTCTGAGGCAGGAGGATCATTTGAGTCCAGGAGGCCAAGGCTGCAGCAAGCTAGGGTTGAGCCACTGCATTCAGCCTTGGTGACAAAGTGAGGCGCCATGTCTTAAAACAAAAACAGGCACAAAAAATGTGATGTTATTATTTGAGTTTAGAAATAAGTTTAATACTGAACTCAGTGTGGTAAAATCTGAGTTTACCAAACCTCAGTTTACCAAGTCTCTCCTGTTGTCACTGTGCTACGCCCTCAGTCTCCCCTGGGAGTCAAGAGTCTGGTACCACCTAGTTCTCCCCTCATCCAAAGTGTTTCTCTGCATTCCCTTGGGGATTTGCTGCTTCTTGGGATTGCTGGACCGTTGGCTTCTCGTCATCTTCTAGCCATTTTATTCCATCAAGTTCCCTATGGGTCTGCCTGCCTTTGGTCACACCTTTGCACCCTGAACATGGCAGTGACAGTTATTCCTTCGAACACCAATTTCCTCTTAGGTCTCTGTTATTCAGGGACCCACCTGATACTCCCACCTTCACCCCACCCCACTCAATTCAGCATGCTTTGCACACATCTCACAGTGGGCGCTGCCATTCCACCTCTGCTCTGCATTTGTGCATGGGCAGGTGCTTTCTTGCGCCTTCTCCAAATCCCGGGAATAACGCCACTCTGCACATCAGTGCTGTGCCAGCCGGCTAAGCTAGAGCTGGATAACCTGCCCTTCCACCACCGGACACCCAAAGCTTCCATGTTCCTTGTTTGGAACAAGATGATCTTGGAGATTGTACGTCTGTTTGTCAACTTAAAGGACTGTAGGAGAACATTTTGTTTTAAACCTACATTGACAGGATAGAATGATCCATTAGAGTGTGACAGGTATGGTGCTGTGGTTCCCAGCCTCAGCCAAGATCCATCCCAGATTAAGAGGATCAGAATTGGGGCCCCACGGAGAGCATTCAGTTTTTGCTTTTTGTTTTTAAACCCCTTAGGCAATGCCAGTGTAGCTGGATCTGAAAGGCAGTGAGCACAAGGAAGGGTTTTTGACTCAGGAAGATCTGAGTATGAATTCTGGCTGTTCCTTAATCAAATGAGATCCTATTTTCTGTTCGCTCATCTGCGGGAGAACTGCAGTGGTCCTTTTGCTGTTAATAGAGGTGAGTTACAATTTTTTGTTTATTCAGTAAGCCTGGCAGATACCTTGTATAGAAATGACTGTGTTTCTGCAATGTGCATTAGTCATTTTATAAGGAGGAAAAATGTTGACAGTTAAGTTAGTAATTTTGATAAAATCTGCACATACCTTTTTTTCAGGTTGAATGAATTAGCTCTAGATCATACTATAGAAATGAGTTAAGCATTCCTAGAGTTACTGAGTAGAGTCGACCTCCCATGACAAAATTACAACTCCAAGTGAGCAGTTCTTTATAAAAAACATTTCACCAAATATACTTGTTAAATTCTAAAATTACAAGTCTACAGTCTTTAGGACTATTAAAACAACACTTTCAATAGTGCACATTGTGGTGTGGTGACGAGTACCTGTAGTCCTGCTACTGGGGAGGCGGAGGTGGGAGAATCCATTGAGCACAGGAGTTCAAGGCTGCAGGAGCCAGGGTCGTGCCACACACTGCAGCCTGGGCTACAGAGTGAGACCTTCTTAAAAGGCACAGGAAGTTGCTTTCCCATATTTTACAGATTTAGACATAAACTCAGCTTTACGATGGTGAGAATATTATATGAATGGCCTTAAGTTTTAAAAAAATCTGGCAAATAGTATGTGAGTCTTTGACCAACGTTACCTTTCTAACCAGATGATGGCTGGCTTAGAGCTGCTCTTTCCAGCATAAAACCCCTGTGGGAACAGCCTCTCACTTCTTTTTTTTTTTTTTTTTTTTATGTTGAGACGGAGTTTCACTCATGTTAACCAGGCTGGAGTGCAATGGCATGATCTCGGCTCACCGCAACCTCCGCCTCCTGGGTTCAGGCAATTCTCCTGCCTCAGTCTCCTGAGTAGCTGGGATTACGGGCATGCGCCACCATGCCCAGCTGATTTTTTGTATTTTTAGTAGAGACGGGGTTTCACCATGTTGACCAGGATGGTCTCGATCTCTTGATCTTGTGATCCACCCGCCTCGGCCTCCCAAAGTACTGGGATTACAGGCGTGAGCCACCTCGCCCGGCCAGCCTCTCACTTCTTTGGGGATGTTCATCAGCTGCTCCTGTGGGCTTTAGCTTCAGTTTTATGAACTTTTAATCCAAGATGGGATTAAGGAACACGAAGCTTATGAGTTTCTTTCTGCATCTGGCGAGGGTTGGGGAGAAATCACAGCAAGAGAGATGGAGCCTGCTGAAGTGGGAGCGGTAGAAAGGGACCCTATCAGGGTTGCTGAGGATGGGGAGGTGACCGCATACCTGACAGAGGGAGGAAGGGGAAACACAGAAGGCACCCAGTGCTTGCATTGACCAACTGCAGGTGGTTGGTGGACTCTCTCCTGTTGAGTTTCCACTTCCATGTAACCTAAATGCAGGAGGGAAGAAGGCAGAGGCTTTCTTAGGGGTTGGGGCTCAGGTTTTGCCAGGCAAGTGTGATGGTGGATGGAGCAGGTGTCACGGGGGCAGGTGTAGACGGGGTTCTCTGTTGCTAACATGATTGACCACAAACTCCAAGTAGGGCAGGGAGCAGAGGGAGATGAGAGATTGGGAGGAATGGAGGTGTCTGAGGACTAGAGGCCCTGGGCTTCAAGGTTAGGAGCTTGTGGTCCTGAAGAATGATGCTGGATTAAGATTTTGGAGGTGGAGAGTCATCGGAGTGGTCATTGTGTAGAGGCTGAATTCACTGGAAATGGAAGAATGTAGGGAATTTGCAGAGATGGGTTGTCCAGTGGGTGCTGGCCCATGCAGGAGGCTGTAGGGGTGGAGATGAGAGCAAAACTGGTCCAGCTGCTGAAGTCCTGCCTCAGTCTGGGCGGTGGCAGGAGCTGAGCACCGACTGTGAGCTGGGCACTGCACCGGAGTCCCCTGCGCCGGGCATGACACCGCACAGCCTCCTCTCATCTGAACCACAACCCTGTGAAGCTGGTATTGCTATTCCCATTTTCCAGATGGGAAAGCTGTGGCTGAAAGAAATTCAACAACATGCCAAAACCACACAGCCAGGAAGCCGAGGAGTCATATTTAATGTATTTTCACCAGTCTTGTAGAGGTAGGTCATAGCAACTGGTGAGAGACCGGGTGGTGAAACCCAGTGACACGAGTCTGTGCCATGATTTCATCAGATAGTGGGGTAGAAAGAGTTTGAGCGCCTCAGATGTTGTCATCGTTACCTTAAGAGTTTAGTGGGGGCCGGGCGCGGTGACTCACGCCTGTAATCCCAGCACTTTGGGAGGCCAGGGCAGGCGGATCATGAAATCAGGAGTTCAAGACCAGCTTGGCCAACATGGTGAAACCCTGTCTTTACTAAAAATACAAAAATCAGCTGGACATGGTGGTGCATGCCTGTAATCCCAGTTACTTGGGAGGCTGAGGCAGGAGAATTGCTTGAACCTGGGAGGCAGAAGATGCAGTGAGCTGAGATTGTGCCACTGGACTCCAGCCTGGGTGACCGAGCGAGACTCTGGCTAAAAAAAAAAAAAAGAGTTTAATGGTACCATAAACTCTAACTCCTGGGCTTGGACTCCAGGAGGGTTTCGGGAACCTGAAGAGTAGAGGATCAAGCCTGTCTGAGGCTGCAGCCCGCCCTGTATTGGGTTTCCCTACACTCTGGCCACCGTCTGCAGTGCCGTCAGCCAGAGGCCGGTGGAGCAATCACCCTGCAGAATCCTTGAAGACGTGGCTGTGTTTTATGGCGGTCGTAGCTCATTCCTCAACTTTACTCATATGAATAATGAGCTCTCATTTGACTGAAGTGCAGCTCGTTCGGTGATTAATTCGTTCTTTATGATCCCTCCTTTCTGTCTCATTTGTAGAAATTACGATTGTGCCAGACAGGCTTGTGGGGTTAGTCAAGTGCACAGCTTATTGAAAACCGTAAGAGAGGCCCATTAAGAATATTTATCTGTTAAATAATTCTTTACTTCATTGAAGAATATTTCATAATGTTTCCTTTAAAAGGAACTGTCAGCCTTTTTATATAGAAATATAAATTGA